CCGAAGTCTTGGCGCAGCTTAGCAAGCTCCTCCCAATCCCAAGCCGATCCGATGCTTCAAAGAGGGGTCGCTCCATGGCACTCCTCCGAGTGGCCCGCTTCGGGCAGCTCTGGGGCCGGCTGTGCCTTGAGCTGCGTCGCCAAGTCCTGCAGGCTCGGCCCCTGTGCTTCTCTTTGGTTCGGACCTTACCTCATATGAGAGCCATTGTCGGGCTACGCTCGCTGCTGTTAGCTGGGAACTCGCAGGCATCGCCATGGGATCCTCTACGGTGGTCTTGGTGTCCGCAATCTCCTTGTGGTGCTGGGCCTGATGACAGTGTGCTCGGACTCTGACGTGCAACTGACACCACGCAGCCTCTGTGTATTCTGCAGAGTAGCGCTCATATCACTCACGTATCACAAAACTCACGAGGCTAAGAGGTTGACCAGTTTTGCAACTTCGGCGGACAATTGGCCAGCGAGCTCCTGGACCTGCAAATGGACCCTTGGCACTGCGCTTTTGAAAGGGCTTTGCTTCATTCAACATCGCTGCGCTTAGCACACAATGCACGAGCTCGGGTCACACATGAACCGCCTGTTGTTGAACTTGTGCCCGGAGCTTCACGTCCTTGGCATTTTTCGATCACAAGCACGAGTCGGACTAGCCTTCCGACCCAAACTTGTGCCTGCACAAGGCAACACGAAGCACTGCTGGGCACGGCGCCTCGGAGGCGTCTGCTCCGCCACTGGGCACGAAACTCGCGCCAAGCCCTGCAAATCTCCGATGATGTCTTCAAGTCTTCTCTTTCCAGGGGCGCATGGGGCGCGCCTGTTGAGACCTTCAGCTCCACCTGTTTGACTTGTTCCTTCAACCTGGAAGCAGAGGATGCGATCTGGGTGTCTGTGCACCGGGAACGGAGTTTCACGGATTCACTTCAGGCTAAACGAGGTCTTGCCGTTGTCTTGCTCTCTGGGCTCTCTTCCGAGGCCACGACTCCACGAAGTCCACCGTGGCCACGCAGGTTTCCGGTAGCTGGCACGTCGCTTCGCATTGCGGGTCTCTCGCATTGGGGGCCTCCTAGCCTAGGCCTGACAGCCTACTGCATACCGACTCGAGGCTTTGATCGGCTTCACAGGCCCAATCACCCTGATATCGCGAACCTCGAGGAGCTGCCGCTGAAGTTCCTCCATCCTCAGATCGCTGGGAGGCAAAAAAAACAAATGAGAGCCCAAGGACTCAAGGCCTTTTTTTCAAGGGTCCATTCTGAGGCAAGGGCTGGGTCAGCTGTTCTTGCTCCTTTCACGATGTCTTTATGGATGTGTGCCACCCCAAACATGCTCGCGGCCTGCTTTGTCGAGTCTTCCTGCATTGAACGAAGCGATGCCTCGCATGTCCACCAGCACTCAACACGGCGCGCGCACACAAGGCATCGTAGTGGCTTTGCTGGCTTTGCTAAAAACAAACTCTGCGACTCCAGACGCCCCGAGCTGAATCGGTAGGTGGAGGCGGCTTGGTTTCTCGGTGCCAGGAACGAAGCCTTTCTGAAGAAGAGCTGCAGTGCACATTGCCATGATCAATCAGCAACTGCAGTGTTTGCAACCACTGACTTGAGAATACTCGAGGCAAGACCTCTGAGTTGTTGGAATTATATAAGCTTCGGGAATCTGGAAGCTTAGCAGTCCCGGCAAAGACTTGCTCGGCAAAGCGCGGGTCTGCCAGAAGGCGTGGGGTGTCACACGTCACGTCGTGTTGGGCTGTTACAGACTTTGCTGAAGACACGATTGGCCCCTCTCATCTCGCATGGAAGAGCCACAGGCGTCCATCCAGCGCAGGTCCTGGCTGCCTGGCCAGGGCACGTCCTCCTTCTTCTTCTCGCGGAAGTACACACACGCAGCTTTCATCTGCGCGTGGTTGTGCGCCGCAGCCAGCACCACCTCCCAGTCGCTGTTGAATCCCAGCCGCAGAGTGGGAGACCGGCCTCGTCGCTTGCCCTCCTTCAGCTGAGCTGAAAAACGTGAATCGGAGATCTCACTACTGGGACTGTCGATGGATGGTGTTGAAGCCGTCCTCCGTGCATTTGACTGGCTTTGCAGCCTGGTCAGATCTCCAAGCTCCTCTGCCCCAGCCTGCTCCTCACAATCGTGATCCTGCGACCGCTGCAAGCAGCCCAGCGGCAGCAGCACCCGTGTCGCAACTTGCAAGCTGCTCAGTGGCGGCGGGCTTTCCTTGTGTAGGCCAGGCACACTTGTGGATTCCCCAGACTGCGGACTGCAAAGCAGTGACGGCAATCTTGTGCTCACTGGGCTGGAATTCTCCTGACTCATTGCTGCAGCCTCGCGCAGGCCTTCAACGAAATCGCGAGCAGCGATGGCACGCTTCAGGTCTGCTTTGCGTGACGCCCCCTTCACTGGTAAGCAAGAGCACGACTGTGAATTCCGAGGAAGGGCAACACCGAGAGCCACGCAGAAGGCCTCAGAGAAGTCGCTGCAATTGCGCCGGATGCAGTGGTACCCGGAACCCACCCATGTTGAATCCAAGCGTTGCATGAGCAGGTTCAACTCTTCCTGCGACAAAGAGGTGGCTCCCAAGGTCATAGACTCCCTGTGCAGATGGCCTGCGAATCCTCGAGGGCGGCATTCAAAAATGCCGATGCTTGAAAAACTGAACTCGCGTCCATGCACCTCAACTCCTGTGTGGTACAAGCCCGGGATGCCCTTGAGAAAGGTGTTCAAGCCACGAGCTAGTCGGTGAATATCGTAGATGTGCAGCGTCACAGTGTGGTGCTGCTGCTGCAAACCTGGAGGCCCAGCCAACGGAGAAAAGCAGGAGAGCGCCTCCTGCAAGCCTCGCGTCCGCGCCATGATCGGCGCCCAGGGCAGGGGTGTCCAAGGAAAGGGGGTAAAAATGCGATAGGGATTGGTGTTTGATTGGTGATCGGGAGGGTGTAAGGAGCCAGGTAGCCCTTCCGGCCACACCCTGTAACAGGCTCAATAAGCCGCTTCTACGAATCCTGCCAAGCCTCGAAAGGGTTTTAGCGGCACGGGAACTGCACCATCAGACGTGACATAACATGGACCCTTCAATGACTGACTCATTCCGATGGTTCCTTATTCGTGATACGAAGACGACTTGCTGTCTAACTTTCTCTCGTCAAGCATCGTCCTATGATGTCACGCTCTGATGCTCCTCCAACCTCACGGTCTCAAAGTGCCGACATCCTGACGATTCCATGACTACCTTCCTCCATTGAGGTCGCCTGGGGGGGGTCCGCTTCTGAGCTAAGATAGATAGACCAGAAGTGGCCGGAGAAATAGATCGAAAGAGAAATCCTTGTTGAAGGAAGGTGATGCCGCACATGTTCCATGCGGAACGCATGCTTCAACAACTCGTGCACAGTCGTGGGGGAGCTCTGGCACGTGCTTCGTAGTCTGGACAGACTTGGACCCAATTTCTCTTCCGGCCAGGGGCAACACGCTCTCAACATCTCAACAGCGAACACATGCTGACTGGTTTTGCTTTTGCTTTCTGCGACGAAAGCCCCCCAAACGAGAAAGAGACATGCTGCGATTCGGGCACGAGAAACAGATTAGCTGCTACTAAATAGCCAACGTGAGGGACCGGTGTGCAGCTCACTGGAGCCGAACTTTTCTGTGCAAGGTTTGACTTCTGCACACCGGGTGTGGAAGAGCTCTGCTAAGCAATCAACTTGAGGTGCTTCGGACATCTGAGGGAAGCACGGCGGCAACTTCCAAGCGCTTGCTGAGCGCTGCAACCTGCAGACACTTCCACGTCGCGTGCTCAATGCTTGACACTGCCCTTCGGCCTGCTCTTTAAGAGTCGTCTTGATAGCCTCAATCTCCTGCAGATCAAGTCACAGCTGTAGAAAATAACTTACTGAACCATAAATGAATGCCCTTCCTCTCCAAGCAGCTTCTCGAGCCTTCCCACGCTCCGCTGGAGGTCCTGAGGCCAGGAAGACCCCTTCAGAGAAACGCTGGGCTCTGACTAGACCCTCACAAGTCCTCGTCCATGCGCTTGTCCAAGGCATCCAGGCGATCGACCTCAACAACGACTGGGCATTCTTAGTTCGGCCCTGACGTAGTCATGACTGTTACCCCTACACCTTCAATCATGATTTGAAGGGCAGAGCATAGCCCTCGCACATCTCGCACACAAGAGGCAGGAAGACCAACACCAAACGCAAAGTTAAAGGCTCTGCAGAGCTAGGCGTGCTTGGATTTTGCTAGCAGGCGACACTGTAGATTTAGGGTTGCTCATGCAACCAGCCGAATCGATTGGCGGGAGCCTCGCTTCCGGGGTAACTGACGTACAACTCACATGGTGATGTCGCTTCCTTGGTGGATTAGCATCCCCATTGTCTTGCCAAGGGCAGATGGCAGGGATTAACCTGATTAACCACGTCCGTCATGAACAACTACAGAGGTGTCACCGATTGCAGCGTAAGAGGCAGCGGAAAGCCCGTACACTGACATATTCAACGACAAGTATCGAACAAGAAATCTGAACTACCTTGTCGGAATTCTTTGAAAGGCCGGCATGCAGGAAATGGTCGTGGAGGTTCTGCTGCATTATCGAAAACCTGATCTGCGCCGACACACAGGATGTAGGAGAGATCTCCGCTGACAGCTCGATGAGCTGTGGGTGAAGCTCGCCTTCTTTTCTCAACTATATATACTCTAGACGAGGTCCAGAACGGTGCCCGCTGTACCGATTGAAGCGCGAAGTGGGTCGTCCGATGTGACTTTCATTCAGCATGGCCGTTGCATCAAGGCAATACAGTCCATCAGCCGCTGAAAGGCCCCTTTCCATGACGGACACTACACCATCACACTGTCAGAATAGACCCGGATTTTCCTGCAAGCAGAAGTCAACAATAATGAAAACAGAGCACCGAGCTTTAATCCCATGCTTCCTTGTCGGTTGCTGCAAAAAGCAGGTGTTGCAAACTTTGCTGCCAAGCCACAATGACGGTATCATCGATGCTCGCCGGCTTGGCCTCTTCAATCCTGCAACGGTCTCTGACAAATTCCCTCCACGAGGCCCCAGAGACTGGCGACAGGCTGTCCCCACCAAGAGGAGTCCTGGCAAAGGCCGTCTCCAGCTGCGAGAGCTTCTCCTGGGAGAGACTTCAATGCAGAACAGATCCTCCCGATCACTTTTCCACGAAGTCGCCTCCAAGCCATCGTTTGCAGGAGCCTGACACAAGCAGAAAGCCCGATGCCATGGATGAGCCAGAGGTTCGGGTTGCACCCTGTAAAAGTGTGAAAAGCCTTCGAGGTCGAAGTCTGTGAAGTCTGCATATCTTTCATCTTGCGCTCGATCTCCAGATGTGCATACTAAGATCAGGAGGGCACCGGAGTCGTCCCAACATGACACAAAGCCGCCTCCTCCAGCTTCTCAAGCAGTGCTTGCTCCGCACTCTCCTCTGCAGCAGAATCTGGCAGCCTGCTTCGCCTGAGTCGAAGATCGTGTTGGAGCCGTGAATTCTCTCAGACGCCTCTGGGCGTTCGACAGTTCCTTCAGCTCCTGCTTGATGGGTGCCATCGCTGCCTGGCCATGGACAGAGCTGGTTGCTTCTTGTGTAAACCTGCCAGAAGAAGCAAAAAGATGTAGTCCCATCGTCATAGAATTGCGTCAAGATCATTATCATCACATCCATGCTATTGCTGTCGCCTCCACGGCTTGCTTCGCAGCTGTGAGCCCTTCTTGGAGGTCCTCGAGCGTGGCATCGACCTCAGTTCGGGGTAGGGTTGCGGCGGTTTAGCAGCTCTCTGGATACGAGTATAGGCTGGCTGAAACAAAAGGGAAAGCGCCTTCTCAGACAGAAGGACGACGTCATCCCGGACCTGCCAGACAAGCTATACAGTTTCCGGGGTGCTTCTCATGGTGTTGTGCCTCCTTGACCTCCGCAGCTGCCGTTGCGGCCGAGCGTTTAGACTGGTCCTCGCGGCTTCAGAGACAAGGTTTGTAGATGTTTGGAGGACTCTGCTCACGCAAAGGCGGCCGGCTGCCACTGTCCTGGCCAGCATTGAACTCTTTGACCTTCTCCAGCAGCTCCTTGCAGAGCACCAAGAAACCACACACCAAGTGTGCAAGCAGGCAAAGGGAATCCCGAGAAGTGGTGCCGAGGCTCTGAACGCAGGGCTGCCAACTCCGGAGCGGAGTTGGAAGCCTCAAAGGCCTCTGCCTTCTTTGCCAGCTCCTGTGCACAGGGATAGGATGCGGATAGGCACCTTTCGCACAGACCTCAGACGCATCCGCAGCTCCTCCGTGGCAGAGCTCAGCTCCAGCTCGGCTGCACCCAGCCGGGAGGTCAGACTCCCGAGCCTGAGCACTTCTGGGCGGCTGCACCCAGAAGAGACGAAGAGAGAAGGGCGTCGACGGAAAAACTTCCGGGCACCCGAACTCGTTTCTCAGTGCTTGAAGGTCCGCTTCCACCTCAGGTGCTGTCAACCATGCTTGCAAGAAACCTTGCCTTGCCACTACACAGTTTCTCTAAAAAGTACATATTGCAAACTCACAATGATGTAGATTGATGCACCTTCCCGTCAGGCTTGCTCTGCTTCGTTGCAGCGGCCTCCCCAAAGAGCAGCCAAGGTTGCAAAATAGCGATGCTGCTGCCTGCAGCCTCCTGGACAGACTTCATCTTCAGATCCATCGCGTCCATTCGAAGCTGAAGTTCACCCAGCCTGTAAGAGCCACGAGCATTTTTGAAGCTTTCAGGATGAATGTTGAGACAAGGTCGAGGCTGGCTGGCAGCAACATCTGGAGCAGAGGGAACCTCTCGACTTCGGCCGCCGGAATCGAGCTGGAAGAGATTTGGGGGTTTCCGAAGAAAAGGTGACCCTAATATAGTACCCTAAATAGTAGGATCCTTATTGTAAGGACCCCAACATGAGGTACCCCTTCTTGTCGGAAACTCCCATTTTTTAGACGCAGACCCGGCAAGGCCTTCAAGGGCGCCTCGCCTCCGAAGCTCACCTGGCTCGGAGGCGAGGCGAGGCGAGGCCCAACTCCCCGATCTTCTTTTGGGACGCTGCGATTGAGTTTGCGCGCCTCGGACACTGGTCCAGGTGAGGAGCTTCCCAAGGGATGAAAGTCCTGACCTTGCACCAAGCCACACAGAGTCGACTCTTCTCGAAGACCCGCAGACCTGGCCTGTGCTCATGCGACGTTCAAGCTCCGCAAGGCGATCCGACAGATCATCGACCACCTGCGACAAGACACGAAGAGCATCGCATGACCGCATCTCGAAGGACCATAGCGAGTCCACCTCCAAGTGCTCGGCAACGGCTTCCAGCTTTTCCTCTCGGCAAGATGCATCTCCTAGACGGTTGCGCAACGTCAGAAACTCCGCAGCCTGAAGCGCGCTGGGTTGGGCGGGTGCCTGGCTCCACCAAGGCAGAAGCACGTACAGTGCCTGCTACAGCAGCTGCCCTTTTGTCTTTTGGGCTCCGGCCTCACTCTCAGGGGCCGTGCGCTCAGGCGCGCTGACCTTCCACAGTCTGTCAACTGTCTGTCATGTTCTAGCGGCCCTACAGTAGCACCCCACAGGACATAGCCACGAAGCCAGCAACAGGCGATGCTTTGGCCTCTCCGGCTGTAAGATCGTTCTCGCGAACGAAATCCAAGCTGCCCTCAACCTGCCACGAATTTGCGGCGAATAAACGGTCGTCGGTCATCCCAGTGGTCTGCACTGCCTCCAACATCCTTGCTGCCATGTCGGCGACTTGCGCAGACAACGCACCAACCTTGGCCTCGACCTGACGGCACAGAAAAAAAGACGAGGGCTGGAGTTGCAACGAAACCGTCTCAGAGAAACCTTAACCGATTCTTGTGCCTCGTTGGTGACACGCATGGACGCTGAATCCTCGTTCTGCTTTCTTTCAATGAGACCTTCAACGACAAACAACGCAAATCCCGAGCGGCGATGCGGACAATGCCTGCGAGACAACCAGTCCTAATGCTTGGGCCCCTGCTATGTATTTGTTTCACCTTCCGTGAGTAAGACGGTTGACTCTATCCAAGGTCGACGGCCACGCACACATGCCAAGCCTGTTGCTGCCAGGAGTTGGCACTTGCTTCTGAAGAAGCTGCCTGCAACTCTCGATACCGCGAATGAAGCGACAAGATGCGACAAGAACCGACGCTGCCATGTGTCTGCTTTGAGCGTGTGCCTGTTGCTTGAGCCTGGAAACCTGCTCCACGAGGTCGCAGAGACTGTTCTGGACCTCACAGAGGCGCGGATAGGCAGCCGCCCTTATCACAGCACCACAACTGGCTACATGTGCCAACCGGCCTGTGAGATTCTGCTGGAGTCAGCCTTGTCTGCTGCCTTCCGGAAAACGGCAAAAGGAGGACTCGCCGTCGAAGCCGCGAAGCTGCTTGAGATCCCCCCGAGGCACTGGCAGCAGAGCCATGCTCCTCGGAAGTGCACGTCTGAACCGAAAGCACCGGAGACCGCGCAGACTCCGCCTCCAACCACTCCAGGCGCCGGCGCAAGTCATCGATGTCCTGCCGTCTTCGCAGTTCTGCAGAATCCGCATCACGGCACATGCCCGTCCTCCGCCGGTTTCATCAGCATGGTCTTGCCGTCCACCGTCCCATCTGCCTGACCACTCCAGGGCCGTTACATGGGCTGCAGAGAAGATGGGCCGCACCTGCACCAGCTCCAAGCGCTCCCGCAGGTCAAACAAGTCCTGTTTTCGCAAGGGGGTCCGTCTACCAAGCGGCTCAAAGGATCGAGGCTCCCAGGTCCTGCTCATGCCCTGCCAGCCTTTCCTCTGTGGTGCGCATCCATGAGTTGTCCTGTGGCAACGCATGGCCAGGCCAACACGGCACTACTGCAGCGTCAGGACTTCGGTAACTTGACTCGGTTGGTACCCATGCTTTCGCAAGAAGCAACCAATAGCTGCCCCAATCGCAAGCGAAAATCAGCTTGACTGCAATGCACTGCACCTAAGACCTAGTTGTCTCAGGCAGTCCGGCTGGATGTCCGGCCGGTAGCTCAGCGCTGCGACCTCCGAACGGCTCTGGCGAAGCGCCTTTCGAGAACGCGTTGTGCCGTCGCACCGAGATACGAAGCATGTTCGGTGTTCACTCTCCCGGCAGTACTCGACATGATTCCAATGATGCTGCTCTCTTGCGGAACACTGCTACGTCGCTACGCGCAAGGCAAAGCCGGCAGAGCCAGAGCCCTGCTTCACGGAACTGACTTTGAGTCACACGCAAGTGACTCTCAACGTCTGATGGAGCCTCACGGAGCTCTCCACATGCCTCCTCGTTGGAGTCTTGCGCCTTGCAGGCTCTGATCTGTGCGCTCTCCCTCCAGACACCGTTTATTCAATCATCATGTCCTGGCCTGTTGCAACCGGTTTTTGAAGGTTTGCAGCTCTGTGTCGAACTCACGCCGCTCCTGTTGTCGGGCCTGGTGAGAAACCGACGTCAGCGTGGACTAAACTGGCAACCGAACAGCCAGAACAAGAACAAGCGAACACGAACTCACGCCTGCGAGAGCTCCAAACGAAGCGACTCGATCGCGGGCCTGAAGGTCTTCATAAAGACTGCGACAGCAGCGCGCTGGCTTCAGCACAGAATGGCTTCTCTTAGCTTGTAGCTCATGGGCCGTCTCGATTCGCTCCGCCAAGCCTCCAACCTCGAACCAACACGGGAAGGTAGACTATAGACGCCAGTTACGACAGTACTAGAAGCATTCCTGACGGTAGGGGATCTGCTCGACTCAGCAGGCCATCCACTTTCACGCGGAGACTCGCAACAGAAGAGGAAAGGTCCTGCCCAGCAGAGCGGCTCAGCCTTTCCCAGGTCCCGAAACACGGTCCCCCTCCCTTATCCCGACCCCCAACCCCAAAGTGCTCCTCCACTTGGCTGCTCACCTGTCACTGTCTCTCTCGCTCTCTCTCTCTCTCTCTCTCTCTCTCTTTCTTTCACCAGGGCTAGGGGCAAGAGAGGCAAGCCCCCCTCACCCGCGCGCGTAAAGCGCCCCCGACATGTGGGGAGCGACTGGTGAGATATGCATGCGACAAAGAGGCAGAGGTGGCCGGTGAAAGTAAGATGCGCTGAAATAACATTAACAAAAAGATGCATCATAGCTACCACGGAAAACTCTCTCTCTCTCTCTCTCTCTCGCAAGGACCCTCCCTCCTATTGGGGCCGCCTTCCGATCCAGTGCAGAAAGGCCCATCTCCGACTTGCGGACTGCCTGACACGTCGGCGTTGGCCCTGAAACTGGGTGAATCTCCGCTCTGCGACCGCCTCGAAGACATCTGCCCCCTGCAGGTCAGCGCTTTCCTGTTAGGACCAGGGAGCCAATAGCCTCTCGGACCACTAATCTTCGAGACGCCCAAGGCCTGGCCTGATTGGCGTCGCGCATCTGCAGCCCATCTTCGAGGCTGGCCTTCACAGCGCTTCGGGGGCCCCTCACAAGGCTCTCGCCTGACTTTCACAGCAGCGTCCTGCAGAGCACGGAGGTCCGCATCTAACGCTTCCTCGAGTTTGCGAGCCGCTGGAGAGCCCGTCCCAGTAATGCCAGCACACTGAAAGCCATGTCTGAGGGACCGGACCTGTGTCTGCTCCAAACTGTTGACCCTGGCCTGCGGACGATTGCAGCCTTTGCTGGTGAAGCATTGGGAGCAACGCGCTGACAGAAGTCCTCCATGTAGCCATCTCTTTGGGTGGCATTCTTCTGTCGTACCTGCCAGTTGAAGCTACAGAGATGCGATCGAACCTGGCTCTTCTGGTTTAGGGCAACGAACTTTGGTTGTTTCGGGATTGTGACTTGTGTTCTTGCTGACGTCCGTTCTTCTTGCTCTTGCAGGGCATGCGGCAGCAGACGCGCGTTGGCACGCTCTCTCCTTCTCCCCTCCCTCGCTGCCTCGTCCTCCATCGCGGCCATACGTCGCAAAACCTAGCAACAGAACCCGCTTCACTGAAAGCACCGCAAGCCACAAGTAACCGGACCTCTTCAAGCGAGTGTTCAGCACGACGAATCTTTGTGGCCTGCACATCTGCAGCAGCAAATTCAGAGGTCGCAAGGCCTGGGGAAGGTGCGCACCTGTCGCTTCTGTGTCTCCTGCAGGCAGCGCACCATACATATCGTGACAAGGCAAAACAAGCATCCGGGCTGAGGATAGGACCCAGTCGGGAACATGACATAGGTATGCGACAGGCCGAACAAATACAAAACGGGTAAGCCGGGCAAGCAAGAGCGAGAACAAAATTGCTATAGATGCGCACAGCACCGCAGAAAGCACGGAGACAAGCAAGGCAAAGACACATCCGCAATGAGTGCGGAGAGCCGCAGAGACCGGCTCGGCGGTGCGAGTGATTAGGGTTCATCCTGGGCACCTACAAACCCGCCCTTTGAGCGTTGCGACACGTTTCCGTCTCGCTGCCGTGCGGTGCATCTGAATCTGGTCTGAACAACACCTTTCCTTGAAGAGAAAGAAGCATGAACGTCTTGTGTAGAATGTGCTTGGTGCGCTGAGGCAGGGCGCGGGGAGAGAACAGGGGGCCTTTCCTGGCACAAGCCTCACACAGCACACGAGAGATTCACATAAGAAGTGACAAGGGAAGAAGGCGCCGAGACTGTGTACTCCGTAAATGGTTGATCATCGTTCAGTTTGACAGACATTGTCAAGACCATAGTAGCATCATCAGAGGCAGGCAACAACTGCTGACACCAGGACCCTCTAGGGGAATGCTGCAACAATCACCAAGGCCAAGCGAAGCAGACTTATCCGGCAGCCTAATCCCTCATTCACATTCATGAGAACTGAGGCCTTGTGGCTTAAGTGCACCTGCTCACCTCAACACATAGATTCGGCCAAAGCTGCATCACACTATGAAGGGCAAATTAGTTGCTTGAAGCTGGTTGGTAGCCGGACAGCTTGTGATTCCTGGGTTTGTGATTCTCCTTGCAAAGCGAAGCATGGGAACCAAAAAAATTCTCATGAAGAAACTCCTCTGCGGCAGCTGCCGCGAGACGATTTTGCTGCTCCATGGCTTGCACCTGACAGACCCCAGACTGAGGCAGCTGGTGACGAACAAAAATGGGGGCCGCCTGCTGCTCAATCTCCCGGTTACGCTGCTTGGAAGCTTCCGACCTAGGGACGATCATTCTTTTGGAGCCATCGGAAACCGAAGACGGGCCTGCCCGGGGTCATCCGGGGCCCATGCCCACTGGTACGTGCCCAGAGCCGCTCGTCCAAGCCATCAACACGGCGAGCAAGAGACTGGGTCTCCTGCCGAAAAACTGCCCTGCCTGCTACTGTAGGAGACTTTGAGGAATTACGGCACTCCTCAATGAGGCCGTTCACACTTCCTTGCACTTCGGCCCAGCGTTCCTTCACAGCCCGCGACAGCCACACTTAAAGACGCCCGGGGTGTATCAAGACTCTGGAATGCTGAGGCACCAACCCGGCCATCATGCTTGTCAGCACGATCGTCCAGCTGGGCCTGTGCTTAAGAAAACTGAAACTAAATCTCCGAACGTCGCCGCAGAAAACTTGATGTGACATGTCCTATTCCTCATCACATGGCTAGGAGGCAACACGAGCAGGTGAAACCTTGTCCAGCCCTTTGCCTACCACAGCCCAATAGTCTGTCCTCCAGTTTCTTTTCCAGCTGTGCCAGGCGACGCCTGAGGCACTTCGGGGCCAACATTCTTCTTGGACTGAGGAAGTGACAGTGATTGGGTGGAAACTGCTATCGTCAGTGTATACAAGCCGTGGTCGAACTCTGTTATTTCAACTCTTCCTCTCTGCTTGTACGACGGGGATGTCGGCGTTTGCCGAATCGCCTGATTTCCTCTCCTTCTGGAGATTCTTCGGGTGAAAAGAGCCCACTCCTTTTAAGAGAGGGATGTACATACGAGTGGACAGCTCGGAATCCCCTCGGCCAGGCGTTCTTAAAGCCTCTGGTCACAGCCATTCTAAAACACGCTCTTGACCGCCTTCTGGGGGGTAACTTCTTTTCGGGGGCCCCGGTTCCAAAGCCAGCGCCTCACGGCCTGCAGCAGGGGGGACGGAGTCGCAAAGAGGCACAGAGAGATCTACATGCCCCACGAAGTTGCATAGACTTGACAGGGTCGCCCACGTGCGTTTGTAGTTGATGTTCGTATCCCTGTATCCCTCACCAGCACCGTCTCTGAACGTCACAGTCGTCGGAAAGTGTCTGGCACGTCAAGATGTGTCAGGCGAAGGAAACTGAAAGGGCTTGCGCTCGCCAGGATAGTTATCGTAAGCCTGCCGAGAGCTCTCGCAGGACAGTACGTCAAACGCTGCCTGAATCTGCTTGAAGACCTGCTCCGCCATCGCCTCGTTGCCCACGTTCTTGTCGGGGTGCCAGCGAAGTGCAGCAAGGCGATAGGCTTTCTTGACCTCTTGGCTCGTGGAGGTTTTCGAGAGGCCCAAGGCAGCATAGTGGTCCTGGACAGGCGGTGCCAGGGCCCAGCGCCGGGCTTTCTCGTGCAGCTCGCTGGGCATCTCCTCGGGGTCGATGGATAGAACTCGGTCAAAGTCTGCCACGGCTTTTTGGTACATCTCCATCTCCATGTGTATCAGCCCGCGAACCAAGTAAAGACTGGCAAAGTGGGAAGCGATGTTCAGCCCGGCAGACACGTCCTTGAGAGCCTCGTCGTTGCGGTTGAGCCTATGCTTGGCCCTGGCCTTCTCCGCAAGGAGCAGGGCGTGGAACTCGGGGTCGAAGGCGGCACCGGCTTCGGCACTCTCATAGAACTCCAGTGCCAGAGCCCAAGAGCCTTGAGCGGCAGCCGCCTCTCCCTCCTTTTGCAAGGCTTCGGACCTGAGCAGGCTCTTGAGGAGGCTGTCGTCGCCGCCTGGAAGTTGGCTCGCGCATCGTAGTGCGTTCATAGCGTCTTCACGGCATCCGGCTTGAAGAAGGGCACGAGCGTGCCAGTGCAAAACCTGCCAAGACTTCTGAGTCGACGACCTGAGCCGCTTGGTTTCCGACAGCGCTCTGGCTGTCCAGTGCTGTCTGGTCTTCTCTGGCTGCGACAAATGAATGCACAGCCTCACGAACGCCAACGTCACGCGGACACCCCATGAGGAGACTTGCTCCTGCGAAGTTAGATCCCGCATCAGCGAATCAAGATCTTGGGCGGCCTTGCCAAACCTGCAAACATCTAAAGCGGCGCTATCTGAAAGAATCTCCTCGACTGCACTCAAACACTTCGAGTGCTGCAACATCCTTGCAATGGCTTGTGCGGCCCTCTGCTTCGATGCTACCACATCGGAATCGGGAGTAAGCTCTGCGACGGCAACGGCCTCTTCTACACGATCGAGCTGCCACAAGGCCTTTGCACACACTGCATATGACAGCCCGTTCATCGGATTCGTCGCTACGCTTCTGCTGGCATGTTGGTAAGCAGATGCAAAATTGCCGGCCGCATACTCAGCCTCTGCTGCAGCAAGGAGTATGTCAGGGTTGAGTGGGTCCATTGCCAATGCATCAGCAAAACACGAAGCTGCGCGGCTGGGATCCTGCCGCAAGAAGGACAGCCCCGAAGAGATCAGACTTGAGAGGACGTGTTGTTGGCGGCTAAGGGCCTCGTCCAAAAGCTCACAAACTTCCGCCTCCAGTCCGCACCAAGGGGGTTTGGCCATCACCTTGGCACCGTGCTCCAGCAGCAGCTTGCACATCTCCAAGTCACCCATGGTTGCCGCTTCCATCAGCGGAGAGTCTCCAGACTCGTCCAATGCATTGGGATCCGCCTTCGCTCTGAGCAGTGCAACCACCAAGCGCGTTCTACAGAGCTGAACCACATCCCTCTCAGCCGCGTCTAAGCGCAGCAACACATGTAAGGGCGTTTCCCCACGCTCTGCCCTCTCGTTTACATCAGCCTGGCATTCAATCAGGGACAGAATCATCGTGCACATAGTCGAGAAACATCGACTGGATTCCCTTGCTTTGCCCAGCAGATCAATTGCAAAGTTTAATGGCTTTGTTCCATTTGGCAAAGCCCTGCAAGCTGCAGCGGCGTCGGTCTTCAGAAGATGGTCAAACGAAGCCACGTTTCCCTTGGCGAGGCAAACCTGCAAACCACGTGCCTTCGGTCTTCGCGGAGCTTGGCACGGCACGGCCACCACGATGGCCCTTTGCCCCTTGTCGAAATCTGGACTCTCCGGAGGCTCTTGGGCTTGGGGCGGCTCGCATGCTGGGCATGGCAGCGTGACCACCATGCAGCCGACCACTGCGTCTGAGTCTGCCCAGGTGTGCTGACTTCTTCCACTCCAGATGCTCGGTTCGTCGCTGCTGACTACAACACTTGCTTCACAATTCTGCGAGGCAAACATTTGAACAGGCCCGTATTGGAACGACAGATGAGGCCTACCACACGAACATACAACACGCTGCACTGCCCGATCGGATATCACCACGCCGGAGTCATGATACAAAGCAATCTGCCCAACTGCAGGTGTAAAACGGAAGCTGTAGCCGGCTGGCAGCGATTGACTGCGATACCTGTCTTTGGACTGAACGAGAAAACACACACCGTTACGAAATAAAGAAGCAAGCACTAGCGTACTAACGGAATAAGAAAAGCTCGCTGTTGCTTGGTTGGGGTTCATCGAAGGGCGAGTGCTCCCGGAGCCCTCCAGCAGCCACTCGGTCAAGGATCGGCACTTCTGGGGCCGCGTTGCTTTCGCCGACGCCAGGTCATGCGCTTCTTCCGGGAGCCCTTCATCTCCCCAGGGGGCTAAGGGCGGTTTCATGTCCGAGCCTTCTGGCTTCCCGGAAACATAAGCTATTACATATATTATTTATCTATATTATCTATGTCATATAATATAGATTATCTATACTATAATATATATATATATATATTTATATTTATATTTATATTTATATATTGTATAATAAATATATATATATATATATACAGTATAGGGACCTGACGAAGCACGCTCATCCCAAACAAGTAGAGGGTCTGCATGCAACACACCAGGTGGCGTGACCTGTCAACCTCACATTGACGCTGCAGGCTTGACACCTGGGCAGCGATGAAGTACTGCAAACATCCTGTGTGAAATACACATACTTGGTTCTGCCTGTAGAAGCTCAGAGCAGCACCCCAGTGTTCATTCGCTCTGCCAGCGCAGTGAACTGGTTCTGCATCACCTGCCGCAACAGGTGCACCAGGTGTGTGCTCGAAAGCTAGATTCTGGCCAACGGGCCGGGTCGACCATGCGTGACAAGCTGGAGGCCTCGGATCGCATAAGCGCTGAACAACGCTGAACAGCGCCGACAGAATGCGTTGGGGCCGTGAATTCGTCGTTCTGAGTGCTCTGCTCGAGCAGATGCACCCAAGGTGGGGGCCGCCCCCCGATCTCCAGGCTCCCAAGCCTTGGTCAACACGTGTCAAGCACCAAGCAATTTGAATTTCCGACGGGCACGTCAAAGGTACACTGTGAGAATTCTCTGCTTGTGGCCGCGATGCACCACGTCTTGGAAACCCATTGCCAGTGTTCTCTGAGCTCGTCACGCTGTTCGGGCTTGAACAAATTGAATTGTTCATACTCCTTGGGCAATGCGTAAAAATGCAGGAAAGCCAAGATGGCGAAAGTGCAATGTAACTGCTGTCGGTTCACCCAAACTGGGGATCGAAGCAGTCATGCGCACGGGCCTTCACTTTCCCTGCTGGGAATAACGAATTCATGGAAAGAAGCACCTCTCATGCCTCAATGTTGTTGGGATAGTTAGTCCTGTCGCGATATCTGAAAGCTCAGCAGTTGCCGGGTCCGGTTGGGTTTCTTGACTTCGGCGAGGCTTGCGCTGGTGATTGGCTGCAGTTTGTCTGCACCCTCCCCTCACCGTCCCTGGCATTCCCTGGCACTCTATGCTTCATCTTCACCCTGCGCGAGACTCGTCCGGACATGTCGTTTTTGCTCAAGATCGTCAGAGTCGGTGGTTGTCCGCAACCCCTTCAAACTCCGGGCTGGTGCTCGAGTAGGGCAACAAGGCAGGAAGGTGGAGACGGAGATCTGGTTCTGCAGCCGAGCATCTCTCCGTTGCCTTGCAGAGCTCCAGCTGGGTCACCTGAGACACTTCTCGAGAACTGGCGACATCCGCCGGACCCGGCTCGACTTGGCCCTGCTGCGCAGCAAGCTGGCGATTCGACGCATGTCCTGAGAAGCGACGAAGGCTCGGGACCGAGTACGCTCTGCTCCGCTCTGCTCTGGGGCCGCCGGGGTCCGTGCGATGGCCAGAGCTCGTCTGGAAGGGCTCGCAGACCTGGCCCCCACAAGCAGCAAAGTCTTGAAGATACAGATCCTTGATTCCTGGTTGTTCGGAAGGAACGTACATCTAGCCATGCTGTGTGAGTCATAGTCGTGCCAAACAGCCAGAGGTGCCTGAGCCTGTTCGCTCCAGTCCCCAGTGTGCTAGCCTGGTGGACATGACAGAGTGCAATCGGGCAGCCGGTTGAAAGAGCTTCAGGGCTCAGCAAGGGCCCTCACCATGCCAGATGCGCTTCTGTACGGCGAAGACTCGGCCAGGGCAAGGAGTATGCGGTGGAGTGTTTCTTTCTCAACTGCGCTGCAATGCGCTGCAGACAGAGCACTGGCACCCTCACTGGAGCGCGACCTTCCATGTCCTCAGGTGTCAATGGAGTCCGGGCTCGCATCGGAAAAAGCTCGGTGCCTCTGGACCTCCGAGCTCCGCACAGACGGCGTATGTAGCTGACAGCAACAGCAGTGTGCTTATCTTGTCCTAGTTGCGGCTTCTGGGAAGAGTGGAAGGTGCTGTGTCTGTGAAGTGTGCTGACAGCCCCGATACCACATGTCGACTGTCTACAGTCCATGGTTTTGGTGAGTGCATCTGCACTCGACCTTTCAAGCATAACCTAAGCCAGCATTTGGCTGCGGCAGCATGACCTGTACAGCTATCAATCGCAGCTGGCTGCAGCGAAGACCCTGGTTCGAGGCTTCTCGGACTCTTTCTCCAAGTCCAGTGTGGAGCAAGCCACGCGGCTATGCTTAATCTAGGGGTGCCTTGGGCCACCCTATCCGCCTCGTTCAGTTGTCAATCTGTCGGAAGCATTGCTTCGCATCTGTAGCGTCACAACACCGCAGGAGGTAGTATGTCTCACACAGTCACTTTGTGTGCTGTGGACATAAGTAAATACATGTAAACACTAGGTCCAAGAAAAACAGAAATTAAACCGCCGAAAGGCACCCAAGCGCCTCTCTGGACACAGCTTCACCGGGCATCAGCTTGGGGGTTTGCGAACCCTTGCAAGGGACTGCATCCTGAAGACTGAAGTTGACAAATGATTACAAAAGGCTCAAGCCCAGGCAGCTTTTCGATGCATTGGCACCAGGGCTGTCAACAGGAAAATCTACAGCCTCTTCGCATGACAAGCGTAGCGACCCTAGCGAGCATGCTATCCCGTCTTCTGCTGAACCCTGCAAGCACTCTGGCTCTGGCCGCTGACACGGCAAAAGCATACCGGAAGCCAGCTGTATAGGCTTCTGAGTACTCACCGGTTTCACAAGCTCAGCAAGGAATTATCGGAGCTCTTCCTGACATAGGCCGACCAAAAAGCAGCTTAGCGCAGCCGAAGCACCAGAAGTCCCGGGTCCCCGAGCCCTGCCCGGCCCTGCGCCGGCCCGTCCCGAATCCCGGCCTTGACGTGACCATCCTCCTTTCGAGCAGCGTCACAGGCCGCGAGTTCGGAAGATCCCGCTGCATGGAGCTCAAGACCTCGACTTGTCACTGGCTTCATCTCCTTTGGTCTGTCACTTAGTTCGGCGGCCTCTCTCAGACCTTCTCGCAAGGCTTCGGAGTCCAGTCGTTTGACCACTTCCTCTTCCTCCTTCTCTCGCGGCGATGCGCCCTTTTTGTACAGCAAAGCGAAAGAGCTCTCAGTGACACTCCTCATCCATAAGGTCCGGGTAAGTGGAGGAGTTGCTAGACGCTATGTGACCTCAGTCTCCGATCTCCACACCTGGAGAAATTCGAGATGCAGAGCTCCTGTCGTCTGAGACATGCACGGATGGAGCATCCTAACCTGGCCACTCCGAACAGAGTCGTTCAGCTGAGGCGACCACGTCTGACGCAAAACGACGTACTAAGGAATCCGCTTGTGCTCCAATTGCGCACAAAGTGCTTTCCAGCATTCCTGTCGAAACAGCTCGCTGAATCTGAACTTCTTTGGTCGACTTGCAAAGGCCCACCTCTTGACACTCCTGCAGCATAAGGCATGCCAGAGCAGACTGGCCCGTGTCATTCAGCCTTGACGCGCACGCGAGACTTTGAGGATTCCGGTTTGTCTGGGCTGTTTAGGGCCTTTGGGGCTCACATGGGCTCACCAGGCTGCTTGCCGACCTCTCTGTTGACTCGCATGGAACATCACGGAGCTTATGTCCAGGGTGAAATCCATCGCGGTCGCTGCGAAAGCTGTGGACAGATCTACACAGGCCACTTCTAAAAGTTCTCGGCCCGGTCTGCTCTGCTACACTCTCTGCTACTGCAATTCCTTGGAGAACCACTGGTCAAAGAGGTAAGCATCCTTTGAGCATTCGCTCGTACCCTTCTCTCTCAGGCACGGCTACTGCAATTCCTTGGAGTACCACTGGTCAAAGAGGTAAGCATCCTTTGAGCATTCGCTCGTACCCTTCTCTCTCAGGCACGCCACCAGGCCATCCATCTTTTCTCGGATGATGCCCTTTCCGTAGGGGCCTGCGACCCTCGGTGACCAGTGCGACGGCGTAAATGTGAACCAAGATTTCCACATATCTGTTCGTGACACTTCACCTGGCCTGTCTTTGCAGAATATTTCCCAGGGCTTGCAGTGTGTCAGCCATGTATCCAGTGACAGCTTTGCATACGCGAAGGTCAGTCTGCCTCCATCTGTGCGAAGCACGGGCAAGCCGAAACGCGAGCTGCACTTTGGATAATGCTGTGGATCCCAGCTCATCCCATGTGAGCCAATTATGAAGCCGTCAACTCTAGAGGGATCGGTATGGTCATCCAAGCAGCGGTCCTTCAGGGTTTGCTCAAAGTTGGTCATGCAGTTGCAGTGTTGATGACCGACGACGAACTTCATGCGTGTTGCTGCTTTTCCTCCTGGGCCGTAGGGTGCCTCACCTGACTCACCCCGAAAAGCAGCACAGTCTGAGTGATCAAGTGCCCAGGCTGTGACATGCGGCACATCCCAGCCAGTGGTGCAGCCACTGCCTGGCTTGTTCCAATGGCCAAGGAGCAAAACCAGGTCAGGGTTCCTCTGCTTCATGAAGGTGCATGCCTCCTGGACAAAGGGCCGGGGATCTCCCCCGACGCAGGTGATGACGATAAAGCCGACGTTGCCGGCGATGCTGTAGTGTTGGAAGTTCACTGCCTTGGCATCCTTCCTGGGCTTCCCGGAGAGATCCAAAAAGGCCGGCGCCTGCGAGAATTGCGAGGCCGGGCGGCCTTTGGGTGAGATCAGGTCCTCCAAGGGTGCCTGGGGTGCCCAGGAGGCGGCCGTGTCCATGGCGTAGAACTGCGCCCCACCGAATCCGAACTGGTCGTAGCCCAGGAAGGAGTCGTCCAGGGCGAACTCTGGAACCCCCTCAAACCAGTAGTCGTGATTCCCAGGCGTAGACAGCAACGGCACGCCCTGTGCAGCGGGTTCAAGCTGAGCAAAGATGCTCACGGAGAACACGCCGTAGCGGTCGTAGAAGTTGTCACCTGCAGTTCCAAGTTACAGGGCCTTCAGTTTAAGCACAAAAAAACACTCCCTCGCATTTCTGATTTGGGGTCTTGATCCGGCCCGCCTGTCAAGTACCAGACGTCGGTGCTGGGCAAGGCAGCATTCAAAAGAGTTGGGAGCGTCTTGTTCACTCCATAGTAGTCACGAAAGACGCACTGGCCACCACCAAACATGTTTCCATTGCAAGGGTCGCCGATCACCAGAAGGGTGATGGGACTTCCCGCAGCCGGGGGCATCTTCGCGGCCACCGGGGTATCCGAGAAGTTCCGGACGAAGCTCCCGGGCGCCGCCGGGACCAAGCCGCTTTCCAGGTGGAGCGGAGGCCCTCCGAGCACCTCAAAAAGGGCACCGGAAACACAGAAAACAAAACCCAAAACACAGCCCTCCCTTTCCCTGGAGTCATTCTAGTCACAAGAAGGAGAGGCTCTGGAAAACACGTTCAGGTCGGCCTCGTTTGGAAGCATGCCATCACGTATCTTTCCCCAAGCGATCTGGAAGCCCTCTGAATACTTTGGCTCGAGGTGAAGAGTGGACCGTTTCGCCCATCCTCCACTCACCGAAGAGAGCCGCAAGCCACCCTGCCCCAGAATGGTTTCAGGGGCTGCTGCCGTCCCATCTGATTTGTGCAGCAGAGAGACCCGGACCATCGGGAAGTCCTTCCCTGTTCCGGGCCATCCAGCATGCGATCCTCGAAACTCGCGATGCACGCGGCTCTTCCGCAATGCTTCGAGAGAAACTTCGGGCATTTGGTGCTCATACTCCTCTGCAGTCGTTATCATCGTACACAGCTGGTCCTCAGTGCATGTGTCGAATGGTTCGTCTCCGAAGTTGTCGCCAGGGTTGTGACGGTTGTGCCAGATGCAGTTGTAGAGCGACACCATGCTGAAGTCGTCGAACGACGCTGCCACCGACCCAAACTTGAGGAGGAGGCGATTAAGTCTCTGAAGTGTATGGACATAGGCCTTCGTATGCAATTCCTTCACTTCTGGGCAATGCTTTGAGTAGCTGGATTGTGTGGGATCGCAGCCATGAGCGAGTGTCGTGGCTATCTCATGTTCGGACAGGGTCCCGCCGCCAATGTTCTTGGCGACGGTGGTAAAGATGTCACCGGCACAAGAGCCGTTCCTGAAGTGCTCTCTCCTGACCTGTACAAAACTGGCCTCATGGTCTACGCTTTCCCTGCAGCTTTCGTCTTTCCGCGCACACTCATCGGCAGCAACGGCCAGAATCGGGGACGAGGCAACGCAGAAAGCCAGCAGAGGCCCGAGGCCAAGAAGGGCCATCAAGTTTGTGGGCACAGGGGCAGCATGGCAAAGGCAAGCTTGAGCCGTCGGCCGCAGGTAGGCAGAAGCTGAGACTCTGAGCCGCCGCTGCGCTGACCTGAAACTGCTCTCAGTAGGAGCGCAGCGACGTTACTTGCTCGTACAGCTTCCTGCAAGGGCAGCTACCATTTCATTTGGCCAAGCCGTGTACACAAGACAGCACCGAGTCACTCGTTGCCAATTGCGCACGCGTTCTTTCGTGTTGGCCCCGGTTGTATGTTTAATAAGCGGGGTATGACAACTTGCTCCGAAGATGTCGCTTGCCTCGAAATCTCGTCGATATCGGGCTGATTCGTAGCCAGCATGCCACCGCCAAAGGTTTGATCCTCATGACGATTCACGAGAGTGTTGCAAACAGGCCGGAGCTTTGCTGAAACCGTGACATGGCTGTGACACAGCACCATGCAGGCCAAAAAGACATACATACCTACCTACCTACCCACCCACCTACCTACTTACCTGCATACATACATACATACCGATGCATTTACTTGTAGTTACATGCTTCCATACATACTTACCTACTTATCCACTTACTTGCTTGCTTGATGTGTTTGCTTGCTTACCTGCTTATATACTTATGCTTATATACTACGACGACAAATAGAAATACGCACACACACACACATATTGTATGATATATGCATGTCATATCATGTATGTATGTATGTATGTACTTGTGTTTGCACTATCTAAAAATATTGCTGCCATACAACCGGTAATGAACCGTACTGGTGTGATGACGATGACAATGATGATGGTGATGCTGCTGATGATGACGACGACGATGACGATGACGATGACGATGACGATGACGATGACGATGACGATGACGATGAAGATGATGATGGTGATGATGAGAATGCTGATGATGTTGCTGATCATGTCACATATTGATGCCTTGGGCTCCCGGCCTGCTGCAACGCTTGCAACTGCGTGGTCGGACTTCGCGCGAGCGGTTCCTCCCTCGCAGCAAATGCCACGATGGCTTTTCGCGCAATTCCGTCAGCTGGATCAACGCGTTTGCCCTGCCTCGGCTCCTTTGTCGCGCTTCTTACCTCCCGCGCCAGCGTGCCGAGCCGCCTGAGAACTGCTGCGCACCCCTTGCTGCAGTGATTCCCACTCCCAGCGAGGCTCCTCGGATGAATGGCCATGCACTCCACCTCGAAGAACGCATACCTGCCAGCTTGACGGGAATCACACAGAATCACATAGTCTCGACCTTTCCAGATGGATGCCACCAGCGCACACTGGGTCATGATCCGAGACATTGTGTGGTGGGTTGAGCACCTGGTGAAAAGAGGGTGATTCTGCAGGTTCAAGTCCGACGAACTGTTTGCGCCTGGATTTGCTCCACAGAGCCATACTTCAAAGGCCTGCAGGCAATCAGAGGCTTGTTGTTGCGGCACGCTGAGCAGGGCACTCCTGCTTTGCTTAAGCTTCGGACTCTGCATGCTCTCCACTGAACAAGACTCGATCTGTCCAGGCCTTGAAGCAAGACATGATTTCTCCCACAAAAGGAGGAAGAAAGAGAGAGAGAGAGAGGGACAGAGAGAGAGAGAGAGAAAGAGAGAGAGAGGGAGAGAGAGAGAAAGATACAGGCACTCTCTGTGCCGCGGACCGGCACCCGCTTCTTGCTGAATCCAGGGCCTGGCCTGGGAAGCGCGGGCAGTGGACCGTCGCCGAATGGCCTGACATCCTTTTTTAGCGCTGCCCAGAGGCACGGCGAGCTTGAAAGTTGGAGGGAACGGCGGGCCCGTATGGGCATCGGCGAAGGGCTCACGCCTGCGCTAGCTGGGACTGCAGGCAGCTTCGCCCCGGCCAGGCTGGGAGGCCGGCCACTGGGACAGCAGGCGCTCGTGGGGCACCTGAAAAGAAAGGTCTCCCAAAAGGCTCGCACTGACGTCAGACTTCCAAAGGCCCCGGCACTGAGACATCCGAGACTCTTCTGCTGCGGGAAGAGCGACGGCTGGGGAGAGTCCGCCATCTCCTGAGAGTGTCAATTGGCAAGTCCCAACCTTTAGGCCAAAAGAACGGCCCTTTCTGAATCATTCCCTCCCTCTCTTCCGGTCCTGGCTCAGTTGATCCAACTTCCACAGCTCCTTGTAGCCATCCGGCTTGCCTCGGCGCTGCGACTGCTCTTTTTTGAAGGCACTCCACACTCAACACACATTACAAAAAAAAGAAAAAGCTGAGAGAAGCCGGCTGCTGAGGGCTTGCAAGGCATAAGCGTGGAAGTCCTGAGCCCCCCCCCGGACTTTCCCGAAACTCGTGGACCGCGCAAAGACAGGTCAACTTGAGAATCTTCCGTCCTTCTTGCTCTCCCTGTTGACTAGCCTCATGTTGGTGTCCTGACAGCAGGGCTCCATAGAAAGAGATACACCCAGAGATATCCGATTGAAATCGGCATTTCATTTACCTGCCTCGCGTTCGCATGCACACCCTTCCCATTTGCTCCCTCCCAGGTTTGCGAGACATGACAGTTCGTCGCTTTATGTTTAGCGGTTTGCACCGTTTGACCTATTGCAGTAGCGATATGTAGAATGAGGTAAACTTGGTCACAGCTTTGGTTTTGGTTGCGCTTCATGCATCTTCCTTGTAAGCCCTGCGAAAAAGCCAGCGCCCGTCCCCCATCAGGAAAATCGCCCGGTGAGCAGGAACAGGATAAACCTCGGCTCGCCGAGAAAATTTCTGCTGCAACACTCATCATCCCTCTTCGCAATCTTAGGTCCAAGCCATCTGGTTCACAAGTGACTTGAACTTGATCTGAACACCCATAACCGGCAGATTTGCCCGCCAGGCTTGGCAAGTACGTCAGAAAGCCGCAGATCCCAAGTTCCGGCCTCTGTCCAGCACTGCTCCAGTTGCTGGAGGCGCTGTTTCAGATCACGCATGCCATATCTGCAAGTCAGCAAGGCTGAGATGCGACCCCCCCAGCACAGCATCTTCCAGGTCTACGTTCTGTGGATTCTGCTTGCGGTTAACTGGCCTGGCCTGGTGGAGTTTGAGGTGGTCGCCGCCAAGTGGCAGTTCAGGAAGCAGAAGCTCCGGTCCTCGACTTCCGAAGACAGCCGCACAGCCACGCACAGCACGAGGACCGGGCCCAGAGAACAAAGCGGCACGCGACAGCGCCTTTGGAGCCTCCAAGCGGATGCGAGGCTCTGGATGCTCCTTTTTTCTTGCGCTGTCGGCCTGATTTGATCCTGGGGTCCATCGGCTTCTCTGCCATGCCTCCCACAAAAGGCCCAACGGGAACCTCTCTCTTCAGATACGATCTCGTACTTCTGGGGTCTAGGCCAAAGTCACGAATGTGCTTCAGCAGGTGTGCTGGACAAAACACACAAAGCCTCGGTGCACGAGAGGCGTGCCAAGGCTCGTAGTTTGAAGATGTTAAACCGTGCTGAAGCTTTCCCTGACCGAATCCTCCACGGTAAGTTTCTGAGTACTCTGCAGAAGGCCGAACAGGTACACAGGCTGGCCATACAGCACGTAGGCCTGAACAGCGCCATTTATACTGCAGGAAAGGGCAGACGATAGCAGCTTTTTCTGAAGGATTAAGGGGCGAGCCCTGTGGTCAGAGGAGCCTCAGAGCGGAAGCAACGGAACTTCGGCACCCGGTTCCCTGCGCAACGCCTCAGAGCACTTGGCGTCGGGCAGAAACTTTTTCCGGCTGGCATAGGCCGTGAGTTCAGGGCGCCTTCCCGGATGCTCAAGAAAGTCTTACGAGGGGGCGGTGCCGTGCGGTGTTGTGAGCCCTGCGCCTAGGAGCAGCTCCACCCATTGTGCCACAGTCTCCGGCCAGCCATAGAAGGTCTGGTTCTTGCCTCGGCTTAAAGAGCTGACAGGGACCGAGGGGCAAAGAATCATCCCAGGGCTGCCGCGAGATTCCTTGAAGCTGCTCGTGCCCTTCATGGCATTCGAGGGCGTCAAGCTGATGATCTCCTGCCAGGTACTCGTCTGAGCTGGCTCCCAAAGTCGTCCCTTCCAACGGGCCCTGATGCGATCGTTTTCTCCCCTCTGGCCAGGCTTTCGAGAAGTTGCGGGTGAACTCCAGAATCAATGCATTCACCACCTGCAAGGGCAGCTGGACTGGTGGCACTCCTGGCGTCCTTGACTGCTGTGCAGCTCTGCCACATTGGGTGCTTCGTCATGAGGGCAGTGCCCAACTCCTGGAAACCTGAACAACAGGCAGTGGGATGAAAGCCCCGGGTCCTTGAGAATTTTTCGGTTTGCAGGCAAGGCACTCGATCAACCGCTTCACCGAAGAAAGTTCGCCCAGGGCCGAGGCCCGCTGCAGCGGAGTCCAGGGATCTTTGTCTCCCCAGCATGCCTCGCGTCCCAAGAAACCCCGTCTTCCAGTCAACGACTGCCGGGCCACCCAAACCGGAGCAGCCAAACGAGAATCCTGGCGAAATCCACTTCCAAGACACCACGGCGCATCATATGCTTGGGCAGTCCTGCAAGAGCTGTTCCAAGAGTGGCCCCGTGGAGTACGAAAAGGTATCCTCGGTTCGCAGGGAAGGCAGCCTGAAATGACCGTGCTGGCTCCTAAAAAGACCAGACCAAGCATCGAAAACCGATTCCGGCGCACCCTGCAGCAAGAGGGGCTCGAGCAAAACATCAACCAGCTCGTCAGTCACCTTCGCAGAGATAAACAGCGCTAAACGTTTTTGTGAACATGACACAAAGCGAAGTAACACTGGGAGGCCCTCCTGGGACGAGTCGTAGTACGGCTCTTTGAGAATTTCTTTCACAGCGTTCTTGTTGGCTAACAGGTTGAAGAGGGATCGGCCCACCTCAGCTAGCTGCTATTCAATCACTGTTCTTTGATTTAAGGAGCACAGTTCTAACCTTGACAGGCCAAGTCGCAAACGTTTCCCGCAGCAGGCTCTGCACGAGCTCAATGAACGGCCTCCCGGTGAAGAGCCCGTAGTCTCTGTCGCAACACATCCCATCCACACACTCGCAGCGCCACAAGGAATGTCGGCCTGATGACGGCAGGAGCCTGTATTCGCAGGAGAATCACTCCCGAATTCTCATTTGAACCGACATGCAAAGGCTTGATCATGGTCAAAGATGCTCCACACATGCGCCTCCGCAACGTGCTCCTGTCGAAATCGAGGATTCACCAGCAAGACCCCGCACGCAAGATCTGGCCGATCAATAGCTGCTTGCAATCCTGCGCTGAGAGACGGCAAAGGATACACCACAAATCCTGAACCACCTAGACATATTCCCGACGAGAAACCGATCAGCGAGCCAAGAGAGTTTCCAATCCTCGCCAAGACGCGCAATCAGGCCCAGAACCTCTTGTATTGATGGACTGCAGCCTTGGCACAGGAAGGCATCATCTTTCACAACCTCCTCAAGGAAGTCGCAGACTTGCTCGCTCCAAGTGTAGATGTTGTACCTCGCTCCCGGTGCTAATGGGAGTAGTCAGAGTAGTTGTTGCTTGAGTCTCGGAGTATAGGTCAAGTCAAAGCCCATGACAATCCACAGCGGGAGTAGAGACAAGAAGCTCAGACAAGAAGCACAGAGCCAAGGGGATGTAGCTGCGGGACCTTGGCCCGTGGTCAGGCCGAAGGCATCCACTGGTCCCCGAGGCTACAGGATAGCTGCAAGTATTCTATGGATGGAACAGACACTATCGAACCTGCTCAGCCAAGCTGCCGAAACCACTTCTCGGCGCCCTGTAAACATGCAATCACCAAACATGAAAACGAGGCGGGGCCTCGTGGCTTTCGTCTTCGCCCACATAGCGCCCACCTCCACCTCGAAGAAGCTCGGCGTCCACGACGCTCAAGTTTCTTCGACGCTCCCCGTTTAGGGCAGCAGCTTCCTGAAAGTGTCAAGTTCTTGCTATATCAGGCTATATCAAACAAGATACACACGATGTCATTTTGACAAGCTTCTGGACTGCACGGCTCTAGCCGGTCAGTGTAGCCGCTGCCCAGGAAGTCCAGCGCATAAACACGAAGCCCTGCCTGCGCAGAGTTTTGGCAGAGATTGCCTCCTGACTTTTGGAGCAGTCAGGCCTTGGCCAAGTCAGGGAGATTGCGACGCCAATGATCCGCCTCACACGAGGCGTTACATCGTTGCATCCTGTTCTTCTCTTTGTCTACCGCTGGGCTTCACAGTCTCCAAGTGGTCTTAACATCTCGCGGAAAAGCTGCGTTGACCAGCAAGCCGTGGAGCAAGAGACCTTGGAGACAAAGGCTCATAGCGAGAAGAAAGAGCCACAGAATCGACCTCGCATCCTACAAGGTATCGCACTGTGGGGGCCCCTGCAACTTGGGCCGGTGTTGTTTTCGCCCAGAGCCTGGTATCGCACCTGCTGATCACGCTGTTGCTGCAACAAGCACAGGTGCTCCTGGACTGCTCGCTGCCTGGCATCCTCGCCAATTCCAAACTTGATTGGGGATGCCGGCCTTGGTCTCTCTGAGACGACAGCACGTTCACACCTCTTCACACAGGCTCTGCTCAGATCCAGGCAGGACTGACAGGAGGTACGGCAGGACGGTGTATCAAGAATCCCGAAGAGCGATGCCAGCTTCCGAGCCCCGCACACCTGGATCGAAGTGAATGCCAAAAGAAAGCAAGGTGGCCCAACGCAGGGAGGAGGCCAGACGAAGAGGCAGGCTGCTCGGTGCCATCGTGACTTGGCTCTCATGTAGTTGGTACACGTTGTGCATTTCCAGACGGAGTGAAGTTTCTGGACATACTAGCCCTCGCCAACACTTCGGCAATGAAGTGCTCTGGGACTGATTGCTGTCATGTTGAGTTCTTGAGCTGAAGTGCAGCGGGCAGTGCAAACAGCCTTGCCGCAAAAGGGGCATTCAAACTGCGTGAAGTAGTGACACACGGCACGATGTAGCTGACACAGAAGTGGATCTCGCACTGGCCTGCAGCCCAACAACTATCACGTCTGCTGCACCGAGCTTGGCCACCTCGGCTGCAATGAAACTCTGGAGCGCCCACATCTGCCGAATTTGTCACAAACATCCACAGCGCCAACGTTGGCATCGATCGGCGTGTGCCCAGCTGCGAATAAGTCAGTCAAGCTGGTCGGGCCAGTTGCCACGTCTCCCGACAAATTCTTCCCACCCAAAAGTGCAAAGATTCGGAGCCTGTTCTACGATGGCGCTTGCCTCTGTCGCATGCTGAGTCCACGACCGCAGCCTGCAAAACATCTGCAACAGCTGCCTGCGCTTCCTGGCATCACAGGTCAAAAGCGAAGAAGTGGAAAGGTAACGACTGCGCTCGCTAGCCTCTTCCAGGCCAGCTCCTTGGTCCTTTCGGTGGTCGCTGATGCCACCAACGTTCCAAGACAGCACGCCGATCTGAACATGGTCAGCGTGCCAGAGCGAGGAAGAATGACATTCAACTAATTTCGCGAAAGCTCGGTGTCTGGCACGTGCCACCTTCCGGTTGCACACTCCGGCCTCGGAATGACGAGAGCAATACAAAGCACATCGTCAAAAGAGACTGCCCAAATGCTGAGTCAACGGCCTTGGCTCCGGAAGATGTACTTTTCTCTGCTTCTTGCATGACACGACTAATCACCTACAGAGTGTGATGGGGCATCAACTCAACGGGCAACGGTCTATATGCTCCCCCTCACCCCCAGCCTCATGCTGCTCTTGCTTTCCCAGCCCAGTGAAATGGTCCAGATATCGGTCGAGAGGGATGCCTTCGACCTGCAGATATCCCAGCATAATCCAACGATCTTGGGCAGAACCTGCTGCCTCCAGACCATGGCAACCAAGGCCGCAATGCCATGAAACCTGCCCAAACCGCGACCACCACATGGATTGCCATATCGGCATGCTTTCCTTTCGTCTGCCATGCCTCGGGCAGCTTTTTTCTGGACCCGGCAGTTGTGCCCGCGCCTCGGAATCCGAAACACATGCAAATGAAAAGTTTAGACAGTACTGTTTTGTGGGCTCGTGGCAGCAACCCATGCCACTGTCCAGAAGCTTTGGATGTTGTGTCCAGTATTATGCTGAAGAGCTTTGTCATTCTCAGTAATTCATGTCAGTACTGTCACCGCCTTGTGTGTAATGTAATAGCTTGTAAACATGGCTGACTACGATAATTTGTGGATTCATGTGGTGCACAGGTGGCACCGCTATCGAAACTCTGTGCTTTGCACAGGTCCGAATGCTCCACTGCAGCCTTTCTTGCATCTTCACATGACAAGCACAACCCAAGCACTGCAGTCAGGTCATGCAGCGTGTCGAAAGCTCCAAGTGGCCTGGACATGGCCACTGCTTGAGGAATCAGACGTGCCAAGACCGAAACAAAGGCTGTGATGAAGTAGGCGAACACCTCTTTCTGGAATGTTGGATTCAATCAAAGGCAAGCAGAGCAGACTGGTTTGGTAGTCGCCCCCACCAGGCATCCTAGAAATCATCTCATCTATCAACCTTCGCTGATGTACCAAGTCGTGTGTATCACGGTACTCGAAAGTCGATTCCTTCAAGCGCCGCAGGGTTGTGATGTGCTGTAGCTGGCCATAGTGCACTCGCAAGGCCTGGTATACGCACATGAATGTACAACCACACATGATCACAAGCATGTAGCCTTTTGTGATAACAACAACTCTTTCCACCCGAGAGCCTGTATTTGTTTTTGGACATGATAACAAGATTTTGATAAGTAGTTCCTTTTCTGATGCAAACGCTTCCAAAACCTGGACTTGAAACCCCAAAGCTTCGTGGTCGGTTGTAAAGATAATTTCGCATTTTTTATTCGCTTTTTCATCTTCTCCCGAAAGCCTCGTGTGGCTTTACACAGATCGAGTGACCGCCCCCACGATGTCCCTTTGTATTTAGCGGCCAGCCAACTATTGGAGTAGTAGGTAGTAGTCGTAGTCGAAGTAGCATCGTAGTGAGTAAAGTAGAAGTCGGAGCAGAAGCGCAGGCACGGTTAGCCACCCCATAGGTGGGGCCTGGTAGCGCCTGCGGGCAGTCCTTTCGAGATTGCTCCGACCTGCCCAAACTGAAGTACCGGGTGGTGCACAAGGTCTCCGTGGCTTACCACATTCCGAAAAGAGCGTTCAGGCTTGGAGTCGATGTTCAGATTGACGTGTCAACCAACCGAGTCGCACTGGCTGCATTTTGTGTTTTTATCGTCGACCAAGTCTTATGACGAGCAGCCAGACTTTAAGCTCGAACAGGTGGTGCTTGCTTTTTGGACATTGAATACATTCGATGTGCTTCTTACTCCAAACCCCCATTGCACAAAGCTCGACACCTTTCCAAGTGTTTTTGGAGTGAGTTGTTGCGGTGCATTCGAGACGCGCACGTGGCATCGTTTTAGCGCAATTCCCTCTTGCAGGCTGGATCGACCGCCACCACAAAGCATTTGTTCGAGCTAACTCAAGACGCAAAATTCCACAAGCACTTGCAATTGCTTGTAGCGCAATTTCAAAGCACCGATTCGAGACAGACTAGTTGGCATCATCGCACTTGCGCAGCGGCCAAATCGGGTTCGTCTCAGTCTTGCGTGTGCGCAGCGATTACAAGCACAGCTTTTGCCTGTTGTCGCATGGATTACAAAAAAGCAAGATTTGGCATAAAATTCCAAAGATTCTTTGCTGTTGCACAGAGTAACCATTCATGAAAATGTGTTGCAAGTCTTGGCGCATTGAAAAGAAAATTTTCCAGCCTAGCCTGACTTCAATGGCCCCAAAAGATGAAATTAGATCTTATCTCTTTCTTTCGTTGAAAGACAAGTCACCAAGATGCATATCAAGCATCGTCCGAACATCGATTCTTCCACATGTCTTTCTGACTTAGCACACCACACAAATGCAACAGATTCGAAGAGTGGCATGGTTGTTTCTTTTGTGCTGGAGTGTCTCGACGGAAGTCTAAAATTTGAGTCTCACACGCAGACACTGCACTGAGAAGAACTCACACAACACAAAAGACACACAAAATCGCTTCCAGAATTGTTGAAGAATCCTGTGGAATCCGTTTGTTTGAGAAAGTATCAGCTTTTTTTCTTGATGTGGAGGGTTTCAGCTGTTCGGTGGAAAGACGACAAATGCCATCTGAAACGGTTTCAAGTTTTGAGGGTGCTGCTTCGTTCATGGAGCAACTTCTTTCCGGTTCTAGCCGGCAAAAAACCTAAGACGCTTAGAGCTGGTTTTAGAACGTCCGAGACTGCGCGCAAGGTCCATACAAAAATCTTTTGGGTTGGAGGTTCGACATCAAGTGCAATGGGCTGAACTGTTGCAATTGCAAGAAAGACTACAGCTTCTCCCTCCAGAAACTTACTTTTTTTGCGGTCTCAGAAAGTCCACAGAAACTTCCAAAAAACTGAAAACACAAAGGCACAATGTGCCTTCATGAAAAACTCGAAAGCTTCCAAAAACATTCTAGAAGACAAGTCGAAAATTTCATTGACGCTTGCAAATTCGACCTGTGTGAGTTTCTGCAAACTCGATTCGGACGATAGCGCTGCAAGTTCGAGCAAGCATTCCAGACGGTCTAGTCAACACCAGAAACTCTTCAAACCGTTGATTTGTGCAATTTGATTAGAAAACCAAATCACTCCATTCCCATCCTCCTACGTCGGCAAAACAACTGTGAGAGCATTCATGGGTGTCCCTTCACTTTCCCTGTTGTGAAAGAGACGAATCCTCATGCTGACATTTGGTAAGACACCCAGAATAGCTGCCAAGCGGCACTTATTTATGAACCAACTTGAAGTAGCCTGTGAAACTTAGTTGGCTTTCAAAAAAGTGTTTTTTTTGCCGGACCACAAGCAAGACAACAATTACAGTTTGGCATTGTTTGTTTTTGCCAAGAGCTCAAACTTTCTCGCAGCAGCCTGTCCAAAAATGTGATGGCATCGAAGAGTGTTTGGGTGTCTTACAGTAAGCACAAGTCCGTCTTTCTGGTTGGAACACGGCTCGATCAGCTTTCACCGCCTTCAAGATCACACTCTGTTGGCTTCTGCAGCGTCGAATAGCCAAAAAAAGTGCTTTATTGTTGCTGAAGAAATGGAAAGCTGCCACAATTCTTTACAGCTGCAAGCATTGTGTGAGCTCTCATTCGAAAAGAGACAACTGTAAGAACTTCCCTCCATTCGGTATCAGGTATCTAAGAACACAAATTGTTCAAAGTCAAGCTTGGTCGTAGTTTGCAATTCATGTCTGTTTCGTAAGGGAAGCCAAGATCAATTGGAGAAAACAATTAGGTTTCTGGGGCCACCAGAAAAACAACAGAAAGTAAGCTGCTGCATGCTCGAGTCATCGGACACTTGTCAGACCCTTCTATTCTAGTGTTGTGTTGTGTTGTGTTTTGTTACGATGCCAGCAGCACGTCTATTGCCGGTGGTTTTGGTACCAGAACCAAAACCTCTACCATGCTATCTTATTTCGGGTCTCTACGTGCTCTGACTTGGCTTATTGCTGCTGGCTGGATTTTGGTGGT